GCTTGCAAGAGGACAGCACAGTTAACCTCAGTGTCAGGATCCCTCGGTCATGGCAGGCAGCCACTGACACTGCTGGGCGTTCGTCTGGCTCTGCTGGACAGACAGCTGCAGTGCTTACAGGTCTGTGAGCTGCTTTGGGGCAGCAACGTTTGTCCCTTCAGGACGTGCTTTGAAAGCAACAGCTTCACCAATCCATGCAAGACAACTTTAACCAGCACCGATGGCAACCGAGCCTGAGGATGGAGCTGAGGTTCTGGTTGTATCTGGAGCTACAAGAAGCTGCTCCTTGCTCTCAGTCCCCAGAAAGGATGAAATATTCCTAACAAGGGGGCAGAACAGAGCCAGGATGGGACTGCGTGCTGACAACAGAGCTGTGATGGCCCAAAGGCAGCAAGGGTGAAGGCAGCTCTGCAGGTGGAGTTCCAGGGCAGCTGCTCACAAAGCTCCATCTCCTCTGCCCCACATTTCTTGGGACGCACGCAGCAATCGCTGCTCTGGGCCAACCTGAAGGAGACCAAAGCTATTCTCGACTTGAGCTGGTTTTGATAACCTACTTGTATACTGAAAGGCAAATCACCTCAAAGCTGCAGAGGCGCGAGCTCCTGAAGGCCTTACATAACTCAGCTGGCAGTTACTATAGGAACAAACTTCCAAAGTTGCAGCTATGATGGGGAAAAAAATCACATGGCATTTTTGGACCTCCGATTTACACCCGTTGCTACACAGCCACTCACCACAGACCCAGCTGGTAGAGAACAGCAGCATGAAAATAGACACGGCTTGCTAAGATGCCCTCCGCTCAGAGGATTATCTTTGTGACTCAGCTCTGCGTGCCTCCTAACAGAGAACTTCCAGGAGCTCTTTCCTAATCACAAACCAATCACTGCCTGGCTTTCTGAAGCCCGTTGCAGGTGAACAGAACTCATCACCACCCGCAGCTCTGCTCTCCCATCACAGTTGGTTTCAAGGTGCTCCTCTGCTAAAGCCATCTGAAGAGAACATCTGTGATTCAATAGCCTGCTGATGGAGGACCTGAGTCACAGCAGGACTTGCTGGGTATCTGCAACGTGTTTTATGTTCACACTCACTGACCCAGCTGCCCTTTGCTGGAGGTCCCAGCTCCCTGATGGTCCCATCACAGCTCCTCATCCTGCTCTTCCCGTTTTCCCCCACAGCTTCCATTCCCATCCCATATTTGACCACCTCCTTGTGGGCCTCGAAGTCCCATCCCTCCTCTAGGTACAACCACTCAAACCATCAGATCAGGGCTCAGGCTGTGTTTGGCCACAAATCCATCAAATCACTGCAGTTATGAGGAGAGGGAGATCTGGGCACGGCACCACAGCTCCCCTAAGAGAAAGGGAGGCTGAAGGGGCGACAGACAGAGCTGGCATGGCAGGGCAGCCTGCATGGCCGGGTGAGCATCCCTCACTGGGGCTGCCTGTGCAGGAACCGACCGTCCCAGGTGTGAGAGGGAGAGGAGAGCAGAGAGGAACGGTTTGGGAGAAGGAGAGAATCAAACAGCATTAGCTCAGTGTTGTACAGGACCAGCACATAGATTCAGAGTCAGAAACACAGAGAAGAACCCAGCTCACCCAAGTGTTACTCAACACAAGGCAGTTCCTGGTTACTGCAAGGCACTCAGGTCACGTCCCATCTCTGGATTGCACCACATCCCTCCTGCAGCCACATCACTGCCCGGCCCCAGGCTCACCCTCACGTTCATCTCACACACGTGGCACAAAGCCCTCAGGAGGCTCCGTATCAACGTGCCGACAGAAGGGATGCCACCCTCCAAAGGCTTGCGCCTCTCGTAAGGCATTACGCTCAAGCATCACAGGGCAGCAAAGGCCTTCAAGTTATGGGGATGATGGTAACTCAGCCCCTCCAGCTTTAAGGCAGACACTCAGCCAGGCTGTGCCAAGGCTCCACGCTTCTGATCAGGGCTACAGGGATCCTGAGAGTGCTCAGAGCAGCACATGAAAACACACCTGCCTGATTCTGCTCAGATCATCCTCTGTTCCCACAGTCAGCGCCAACAGGAGCTTTGCAATGCAAAGAGGAAGCAGCATCTGTCCCCACTTCCTCCAAACCAAGGGCCTCTAACCACACCACGCTGTTTGTTGCTGCAGAAGCAGAACCTCCCTGTGCTCATTTCCCATTTTCCTTGCCTTCATTTCACCTCCAACAACTCACACACGGGCAGCTTGGAGGAGCCCATAGGGATGCTCCTGGGAGCCAAACTCAAACAACAACACAAGGAGGGTCTGTGGGGGTACATGCAGTTATGGCACCGTGGGTATTGAAACCTCTACATATATAGCTCTCTGTATAGAGGTAGGAAAAAAATACAGTAATGAAACCCAGCAAGAAGTTAGGTCATTGGGAACACGCATAATGGAAGTGTGGGTGGCATCTGAGCAGGCTCTGCTGTGTGTCATGCGAGCTCTGAAACGCTCAGATCAGGCAGCAAATCACTACGAGATGCAGGAAGCTCAGCACAGCAGCACAGCCAGGGCTCACAGTAAGCGCTTCCCCAGGCACTGAGCGAGCTGCAGGGCTCCTATCCTGCCTTCCCTGCAGTGAGGCTCAAGCAGAATCCCAGTGACAAAGCGAGGAGCAGCAGCAGAGCACAGAGTGCACAGAGCACCAGGGCATTGGGGAACAACCTTGCTGGGAAGGCCCCAGTGCAACAGCAGCCCATTTCCCCAGGCAGGTCCCAGGTGCTTTCCCAGCCACGAGCAGCTCCCAGCTTTGGTGGTAATGTTTAGTGAGTGATACCCTGCACACCAGGAGAGGCTGCATCACCATACCAAAGCCGGACAGGAGTTGATAAGAGGATCTGTTCCCACACTGTGTGCGTTGCCTCATGCCTCGCAAGCCGTGATAAGAGCTGTGTGTGCCCTTGGGCCAGCATGAGAGCCAAGAGATAAGGGACACACAGCAAGGGGCAGGCTGCTCGCTGCCAGCACTCCCACCTCCAACCGATACGGAGCAGCACAGCCAGGTGTGGGGCTGCCGAAGCCCAGCAGAGCCCAGTGCTGCGGGGACACCGACTTTTGGGGTTCTCTCCAGGCAGCACACAGAGCCTGATGGGAAGCAGAAGGGCCGCCGGCTCACCTTCCAGCAGGGCTCTGCAGCTGTTAGAGGACACTGCAGCAAGCAGACACACACCTCCAGCTCCTTACAGCCCGTAAGGAGCCCGCAAAGCCCCAAACCCTTCGAGCCGCTCAGTGAGTGGGATTTCCAGTCGGCATCGCTTTGACCCTTTCGGGAAGCAAAGCGCTGCACAGCAGGAGCAGAGCAGCTCCCACCGCCCAGCCCTGCCCACCCGCCCCTGCTTTAGGGATTTTTTTGGTGTGTGTTGGGGGGGGGGAGAGAAAAGGATTTTTCCTTTTTTCTTCTTCCCTCCTTTTTTTCCTCCTCCTCTTTTTCTCTTCTGTTCCTGAGGCGCTGCTCTCTTCATAAATCATCCCTCCTTTTCTCTTCTGCTTTTCCCCTCCCCGCTCCCTTCACCCCCTCACGACGCCCCGATCCCCGCCACCCGGCAGCACCGCACGGCCCGGTGCGGCGCGGCCGTCGATGCCGTTACCTTTGGCCTGGCAGTCGGCGCAGTATTTGTTCTCCTCCTCGCTCAGCAGGCCGCCCAGCACCGCCTGGTACCGCTCCACATCGCGCACCGATTTCCCCGTCATGGCGCGGCCGCCGCTGCCCGCCCGCGGGTCACGGCGCCGCCGTCCCGGGCACCCGCCGCTTCCTGCTTCCGGTCGGCGTTGTGGGCGGGGCGACGAGGAGAGAAGCCAATAGGAGGCGGCGGAGGAGCCTTAAGACCGCCCCTCGTTACGTCACTCTCGTTGATTCGCTGAAGTGCGTCAGAGCCAATGGCGGGGCGGTGGCGGGGGAGGCATGAATGGGCAGTCACGTGGTGCGCTGGGAGCATCGCGCGGCGGAGTTGTGGGGGTGCAGCGATGGGGGGGCGGTTGGGATTTTGGGGGCTGCTGGGGGTGGAGGAGGTGTGGGGAGTGCGTGGGGGGCTGTGATGGGTCGGGGGGGTTGGTTGGGGGTTGCATAGGGGGTTCTTGTTGGGGGGGCTGGGTGGTTGGGGAGGGTGCTGGGGGTGCAGGAGGTCTGGGGGTCTGGAGGGGTGCAGAGGAGCTCGGGAGCGGTCGGCTGGGGGTGCGTGGGGTGCAAAGTGTCTGGGGTCTGTATGGAGGGGGGTCTGTATGGAGGGGTGAACACCGTGTGTCAGTGTGGAGTCATCCGGAGTTGCACAGTGCTTCCGAAGTGCCCCTCGTGTCCCACAGAGGCAATTTCAACCCGTCCCTCCTGCCCTCAATGTGCCGCGGTCGCGAGCGGAGATGTCCCCTCGGCTTTGTGAATGGGGGGGGGGGGGGGGTCCCAGTGCGGGTGCCTCGGAACCAGGGTTCGGGTTCGGAAACGCCAGAGTTTGGGGCACAAACGGAGACGGATCCAGCGCCCGTTTCCTCCAAGCCCCGCTGCTCCGGGGGCTGCTGCCGGCCCCGACCCCCCCCCCCCCCCGGGGAATCGTCCCCCGCGGGGCCCGCTGCGGGGGGGCCCCGGGAGGAGGAGGAGATGCGGCGGCGATGAATCATCCGCGCACCTCCGGGAGGCAGCGAGGCCGGGGGGGCGGCCGTGGGGTGGGACCCGGCGGGGTCCTCAACTCCCCCCTCCCAGAGCCTCCTAACCTCCCCGGGTTCCATGCTGGGACCTGCTGGGGGCTGAGCCCAGCGCAGGACCTCGCAGTGCAGTAGCGGTCCGACAGCCTCCACCTGCATCCCCACCGTTCCCATCTCGCAGCCCCTCGCTCCCATCAAAGCCCCTTTGTGCCACCCGGCCCCAAAATAGCAGCACGCTCACCTGCGGGGGGGGTGGCAGCCAGCGCCTGCCCTCGTCCCCTGCTGCTCCATATTAATCAGCCCCTTCCTCCTCCCCCTCCTCCTCCTCCTCCTGCCGATCCCTCCGCACTCCGTCGTTCGCAGCCCCGCTCCCGGCCATGGCTCACCGCGGCCCCGCGCTCTGCCTGCTGCTCCTGCACGCTGCCTGCCTCTGCCTGGCCCAGCTCGTGAGTGCTGCGGGTGGGGGTCCCGATGCCCCCCGGTGCTGATTTACCTCTGGGAGCTCCAGCCTGCCAGCTGGCTGCTCCCTGCGACCCCCCCCCTCCCTGTCCCCCTCGGGCCCCCAGCGCCGCTCCCACCTCTGCACCCAAAACTCCTCCGGTCCGTGGGATGGGGATTGGGATGGGGCTGGCAGTGGGGCTCAGACTTTGGGGTCCCAGCTCTGATTTTGAGGCTCCACCATTGGGATTGCAGCTCTGAATTCACACCTCCCACTTTGGGAGCTACACAGTTTTGACTCTGGGGCTCCAACTGTGGGATTACAGCTCTGATTTTGGAAGCATGTCTCCAATTCTGGGGCTCCAACTTTGGCACTCACATTTTGAGATTGCAGCTCCAACTTCGGGGCTCCAAACTTTGGGATCGTAGCTGTGATTTTGGAGCTCCGACTCTGGGAGCACAGCTCCAACTTCGGGGCTCAGATTTTGGAAGCACATCTCTGACTTTGGGGCTCCAGCTTTGGGATTGCATCTCTGGCTTTGGGACTTGTTAGCCAACCTTTCCATCTTCCCATTGGGGCAGAAGGGGGGGATTTCTCCACGCTCCCCCTTCCCTGCAGCCTCAGGACCTTTGCTTCCCATCGCCGGGGTAAAAGAGGATTTGCTTTGCTTTGCTGGGATGCTCTGCAGAGCCGGGCTGTGGGGGCTCAGCCCTTCCATGGGGGCTGCTCGGGGGGGCTGGGGGGCAAACTTACCCAAAGCATGAATTCGAGAGAAATGCAGGGATTGTTTCCCTTGGCTGCACTGCGCTGAGCAGAGAAAGGCTCTCACTGCCCCACGGTGACCCACATCAGATTTGTGGCACAGAAGAAAACCTCTGAGAAGTGTCCCCATGGGCTGAGGGGGGGGGGGGGGGGGGGCCGGGCCGCCCAAAAACCCCCCCCGGGGCCCCGGGGGGCGGCGCGGGGGGCGGGGGGAGGGGGGAGCCCTTGGAATAAGGGGCCATTTGGAACCAGATGGAACTTACTGATAACGTTTTGAGGGGCTGCGCTCTGCTGCCATGTGTGGGGCATGGGGGGGCACACGCTCACTCCCAGCCCAGACTGTGGGGTGAACTGAGGTGTTCAGTGAACCGACCTCCAAAACCTCCCATCCTCAGACATCACATTCAAAAATGAAGAAGCCTTGCAGGCGGCTGGGCTGCGGCTGCCAACCCCCCACTGCCAGGAACAGCGCAGCTCCGGGGGCAGCAGCTCCTGTTCCCCGCGACGCCCCGTTCCGATAACAGAGATTTCTTTGCAAAGTGGCTCCTGTAAAAACCTCAGAGCTGGAGGAAGGCAGGCAGAGTGGGGGCTCCCCCAGCAGCTCCTGAATGGTGCTTTTGTGTGGAGCAGCAGCAAGACACCGCAGTCCTGCATGTGGCCCGGCAGCGTGCCAGCACGGCCCACCTAGAAATGGGGCACTGCAGCCCAGCCGTGCTTCTGGAAATGCCACTGCACCCCAAATGGCCGGGGGGGGGGGGGAACCCTACAAGTGCTGCCCTCGCCCTGCTGAGCTCCCGCTTCAAATAGGGGCCGGATTCCCCAGCAATGGGTGGGGGTGGTTGTGCCACGGGTGGGGGGCAGTGCCCCAAATTGCCATGTTTCTCCATTCATACCTTCGCTGAGGGCACTCAGGGAGGCTCTCTTGGGGTGCCCGCTCTGTCCCAGTGCTCCAGAGCTACGTTCCCCGCAATGTACCCTGAACCCTGAGCATCTCCTGGGGTCTGGCTGCATCCTCCTGACCCCCATCCCCTCCCTCTCTCCCCATAGCGGGGGCCACCAGGAGAGCCCGGCCCACGAGGGCCCCCAGGTCCGCCAGGAGTGCCGGGAGCGGATGGCATTGATGTGAGTGCGTGGCGGCGGGGAAGCAGCCGGGAGGGGATGCCGCAGCACAAAGGGGACATTGTGTGGGGCGGAGGTGCGATGCCGCGTGGTTCCTGCCCTGCGCTGCTCCGGAGAGAGGAGCGCGGCCCCTGCAGGGCGTCCCAGGCTTTGCGTGTGGCAGCGGTGGGCGCGGGGTCGGGGACCCTCGGAACAGCTGGGGATGAGGGGCCTGGAGGACTTGGTGGGGACAGAGCGGCAGCGCGTGGTGCTCAGGTGGTGCGGGATGCTCGGTGCTGCAGGCGTGGATCCTGGGGGGCAGCAGGACCCCCGCTGGGTGCCTGCGGAGCACTGGTGTGGCCAAGGGCTGTGCTGAGTGGGGACAGAGCCTGAACGGAGGGATGTGCAATCTAGCTGAGTGCCTGCCTGCCTGCCGTGCCCCAGGCTCCTCTCCAGCCCCAAGCGTTTCTTTGGTGCTATTTACACCCCGTCCTACAGCTGCAGCAGGGTTCGCTCTCCTCATCCTGAGCACTGGCAGGGTGACGGTCCCCATTTGTAACCTTCCTCCCTCCCCACAGGGTGACAAAGGCTCTCCCGGAGCCCCCGGCTCCCCGGTGAGTACGTGTCCTTCTGCACTCCCCGATGTTTCCCCTCTTTGGGAGGAGCTCCTTTTAATTCTCCCCCACCCAACTCTTCTCTTTTAAAGGGTGCCAAAGGGGAGCCCGGAGCCCCGGGTCCGGATGGGCCCCCAGGGAAGCCAGGCTTAGACGTGAGTACCAGCCTTTGTGGTGAGCCATAGGCACAAAGAGGAGCCCCCCCTCGGCCCCTCGTGGTGGAAGCAGTGATAATTCAGTGGCCGAAGAAGCACTTGGGGCTGGAGGAGGTGGGCACAGCACACACCGATCTCCTGCTCTCTCCTTTTGCAGGGTCTTACAGGTGCCAAAGGGGAGCCAGGGCCCACGGGGGGGGCAGGAGTGAAGGTGAGTGTGGGGACGGCCCCCCCCCCCCCCCCCCCCCCCCCACCTCTCCTGCTGTGTTTCACCTCTGACTGTCCTTTCTGTCCCTCAGGGTCAACCCGGACTGCCAGGGCCACCGGGGCTCCCAGTGAGTATCTGCCTCGGTGGTGGCACGGCATCGCCCTGCTCGCAGCAGTGATGCTGGCAGGTTTGGGGGGCTGCAGCCTGGGGGCTCACTGTGTCTCTCTCCTTGCTGCAGGGCCCCTCGCTGCCAGGACCACCTGTAAGTGCCTGTGGGGATGGGGCACGCCACCTCAGCTCGGATCTGTGCACCCCCAAATGGGGGGCTCGGGGCTCAGCCCCTCTCCCTCACTCAATGTCTCACCTCTCTGTAAGGGGCTGCCAGGCCAGGTCGGACTGCCCGGGGAGATCGGAGTGCCAGGACCCAAGGTGAGGGGGCAGGAGGGGGTGCTCCCAGCCCTGGCATCTGCCTCTCACAGGCTCCTGGATCAACAGGGGAAACTCCATCGTGTGTGTGGGCATCCCTACAGCAGGGGGGGCTGTGCTACTGCAGCAGAGTCCCTTCATGCTGCCCCCCCATCCCATGGCTGGGGGATGCCTCCATTCCCAGGGTGACCCTGTGCCTCGTTGCCCCTCTTTGTGCCAGCTTTGGCAGCTCCTAAATCCCCCCTCTTTGGGGTTGTTTTCTCCTAGGGCGATCCTGGACCCGATGGCCCACGGGGCCCCCCAGGTCCCCCAGGAAAACCCGTGAGTATCTGCCCAGAGGGAGCCCCAACCTCTCTGCTGGTGCAGGAGCCACAGTTACACCCTGTGTGTGTATCAGCACCGTGGATGCTGATGGGCTCCTTCCCTACAGGGCCCCCCAGGACACATCCAAGGAGTGGAGGGAAGCGCAGATTTCTTGGTGAGAGCAGCCATTCCCTTGCCCCTCTGTCAGGCTTTATGGGCAGCTGGGAGAGCCAGCTCAAATGCAGTGACCTCTGTAATTTGGTAAATGGGGTTGGGGGAGCAGGATCCCAAAGCACAATGGTAGGTTCCCATTTAGCCCAGCCTGGATGCTACTGACATCAGCTTGTCCTTCACACAGTGGGCATGGCTTTTCTGCATGCCTGCATCCTTCCCCAACTCATTCCACACTTGTTCTTCCCCACCAGTGCCCGACCAACTGCCCACCAGGTCCCAAGGGCCCCCAGGGACTGCAGGGACTGAAGGTGAGGATGCTCTCCTGCCCCCTGACATTCTGTGCTTCTGTCCCTCGCATCGCTGTGGGAGATGGGAGAAGGGATCTTCTCCGGTTGGAAACAGCTCCAGATTGCTGCCCAGTGTTGGGGGGATGCGTGCATGTGGGGCTGGCTGTGGGGTGCTGCCAGCTGGCACTGAGGGATGTGGCACAGCGATGCTGTGCTGTGTGTTCTCACCCCTTCCTTCTTGCTCTTAGGGACACAGAGGTCGGCCCGGCGCCTTGGGGGAGCCTGGCCAGCAGGGCAAACAGGTGAGTGGGGTCAGCCCTGCTGGGACAGTGGGGTGGCTTGGGGAGCTGGGGCTGAGGGTGGGGGCACTGGGGAGAAAAAGGGGGAAGGCAGGAAAGAGGTCAGTTGGAGGGAAAGAATATCAGGGCTGGGAGGAGAAGAGCGGGCGGTGGTTTTCCTGTGGAGGATGAAGCTCTGTGCTCCCCCAGGAACGTGGCCCCATCCCTATTGCTATTCCTTTCACCATCCCTGTTCCCATCCCCATCTCCATCCCATCCCCAATCCCACGCCTGCTGCTCACCTCTCTGTTCCCCAGGGCCCCAAGGGTGACGTCGGTGTCTCCGGAGAGCAAGGTGTCCCAGGCCCTCCAGTAACGTATTTATGTCTCTTTGCTGCTCTTATCCCCGAATGCTGGGGTTGTGCATGGCCACAAATATGGGGGGCACGATGCTGACCTGCCCTCCCTGCTCACTGCGACCGGGGCAAAACCATCATCCGCTCCGTGTCTTTCTCCATGCCACCGTGGGGGGGTCACAAAGCGCAGCCTGGGGGGACCTCGGCGGTGGCACCGCGTGGTTGAAGGCTGACTCTCCGAGCCGGATAAACCCCCGGCCCCCGCTGAGCCCCCGGTGTCACGGATGGGGCCGTGGAGCCCGGCTCCCTGCTGGGCTGTGGGGATTAAGCTGTGTGAGATCACCGAACGCTTTGAAGATGCAGAGCAATTACCGGGCTGAGCCCGACGGGGGCGGGAAGGGGCAGAAGCCCTCGGTGGGGGAAGCAGTGCCCGTCTGGGGCTGTTGCTGTTATCGAACCGACAGCTGGAAAGGGGCCTGCTGGGATCAGGAGCTGGACGCTTAGCGGTGGCAGAAGTGGCTGATTTGCAGTGTCAGCTTTTGCTTTAATTGTGGGCACCCCCCTCCCCTCCCCCCGGGTGCTGCCAGGTCGGTCCCCAAGCTCAGTGGCTCTGCTTCCTTCCTCAGGGGCCGCAGGGCCAGCGGGGGTATCCAGGGATGGCAGGACCCAAAGGCGAGACGGTAAGTGCTGGTGGGACACGGGGGGCACCCCCAGATGGGGTCCCTCTGATGGGGCTGGGATAGGAGGAATCACCCCCCGTTCTCTTTGCAGGGTCCTACTGGCTACAAGGGGATGGTGGGGACCATTGGCGCGGCCGGGAGGCCGGTGAGTGTCCCCAGCTGTCCCTGGCAGGTGTCTCCATGTGCCGCTGCTCAGCCATGTTTCTCTCCTGCAGGGCAGGGAAGGCCCTAAGGGACCTCCAGGGGAGCCAGGAGAGAAGGGAGAGCTGGTAGGAGACCCACAGCCCTTTACCCTGGCAGCCACCTGGGTGCTGCTGCCCTCTCCGTGCTCCATGCCATGCGCTGGGAGCACTGAATAAAGCCCTCTTGTCCCTCCTGCTGCAGGGCGGCCGCGGCATCAGGGGCCCCCAGGGAGACATCGGCCCCAAAGGGGAGAATGTGAGTACATCCTGCCCGAGCCCAGCATGGGGAGCAGCCTCTGCCCTCCCTCAGAGCATCATGCACAGCTCCTGGCTGCCCTTGGAGGTGTCAGCCCTGACTGCTTTCCCCTTCTGCAGGGTCTGCCTGGCATTGATGGCAAGGATGGCACACCGGGCATCCCAGGTGTGAAGGTGAGGAACTGACATGCAGTGTTCTCCTTCCTGTGCCTTTCTCAGTTCTTCTGACCTGTACTTTTTCCATGCAGGGCTCTGCAGGACAGCCTGGCCGCCCGGGGCCCCCGGGACATCGTGGACAAGCTGTGAGTATGAGGGCAAAGAGCCCCACTGCAGACGTGACCCCAGGGCAGGGGGCTGCCTCCTGCACCATGCGTGGGGTCTGACCCAGCTCTGTTCCTGCAGGGTTTGCCGGGCCAGCCAGGAAGTAAAGGTGGCCCAGGGGACAAGGTGGGTGTGGGGCTGAGCCCTCAGCCTTGGCCCCTCCAACCCCCCCCATCCATACCACATCCCTGTGGGGCACAAGGACCTGTCCCTGAGTGCCTGCATCTCCATTCACAGGGTGAGGTGGGACCTCGGGGGCAGCAAGGCATCACCGGAGCCCCGGGGCTGATGGTGAGTGCAGCACCTTCCCCCCCTTGCTCCCCAAATTTTGCTGCCACAAACTCCTCCATCACCCACGGGATGCAGCTCTGTTTGCAGCATCACTGCTGCAAAGCTCGAACCTCCCCGTGCTCTGCAGCCAGCATCCACCCCTTCCTGCGTGCCACCCCGGCCACGTGCCCCTCTGCAGCATCCCCAGGAAGGATGAAGGGTTGTGGGGGCACATGGCCATCTGGAGGCAGCTCCTTCCCCAGCACCATTAACACTGCTTGGGATGTTTTCCCCCCTAGGGTGAACCCGGCCCCCGGGGTGAGCAGGGACCGCAGGGCGTCCCTGGGCTGAAGGTGAGTAGGGGGCACAGGGGGGGCTGCAGCCATGCTGGGCACTGCCCTGACTGCGCTTCCTCCCCAGGGTGACCGGGGGGAACGTGGCCCCGTTGGAGCCCCCGGTGAGCAGGGCAGAGCGGTGAGTGTGCAGGGAGACCCTCTGTGCCCCAGGAAGGGGCAGGAGCTGCCCTGACTCGGAGATTTGGGGACCTTTTTGAGGGTGTTCCTATGGGCTCTTCCCATTCACTACTTTGATTTCCAGGGGCCCAAAGGTGAACAGGGCCCCCCAGGGATCCCAGGACCCCAAGGCTTGCCAGGAGTCAAAGGAGACAAGGTGAGAACTGCTGCGGGAGGCAGAGGAGCAGCCATCTCCTTGGGGTTCTGGCATATCCCTGCAGACGTGGGCAACGCAGCAGCTGCTGTAGGGGGGTGGCCTTGGATGGCAGTGCAGAGGGGGTCAGGGTGGGGGTCTATGGGGAGTTGTGAGCTGAGGTTTTGATGCACATCAGACGTGCCTGTGGCTGGCTGACCCCTTCCTCCCCTTTCTCCAGGGCTCCCCAGGGAAGACTGGCCCCAAAGGCAGCATTGTGAGTATCCCTGCATGCTGGGGATGGGGAGCTGCATGCTGGGCAAGGACTGACCCCTGTATTCAGCACCCACCCTGGGGGGCTGACACCCACTGCCCCCTTACTCCCTCAACAAAACCCTGCAGCGCCCAGGCTGGGGTTGGAGCTGCAGGATGACTTTGTCCCCATGTATTCCCTCTCCTGCTGCAAGGACCTGATGGGGGACCAAGGGGCAACAGATGCAACTTGCCAGCCCCATGGGCACCCCCTGCCTGGGCACCCCGAGTTGTTGCATAGAGGAGCAGCAGCTGGAACGCAGCAGGGTGCAGGCAGCAATCTCACTGCTCCTGTCCTCTTTTCTCTAGGGAGACCCCGGTGTCCACGGCCTCGCAGGGGTGAAGGGTGAGAAGGTAGGGCCCTGCAGTAGGGCTGTGCTCCTGGGGCTGAGCACCGCTGCACTGCACCCCACCATCTGGGAAGGGGCACAGCTGCCTCCCCCCGCAGCACAGCCTCATTTCTTCTGCCTCCCCATCACCTTTCTCGTGTCCTCCATCCCCAGGGTGAATCGGGTGAGCCAGGACCAAAGGGACAGGTGAGAGACGAGGGGCTGGCAGCGTGTCCCCAAACCCCACTGCTGCTCTGCAGGACCCTCCCTTGGACCCCCTACATGAGCTCACCCCCTGACACCTCTCTCCTTTCCCTACAGCAAGGCATTCAGGGTGAGCTCGGCTTCCCTGGGCCCTCTGGGGACGCAGGCTCACCCGGTGTGAGGGGCTACCCAGGTCCCCCCGGCCCACGGGGGCTGCTGGGGGAGCGTGGTGTGCCAGGAATGCCGGGGCAGCGCGGCCTTGCAGTGAGTACCAACAATCCCAACACAGCATCCATTCGTGATGATCCACATGCATTGCACCTTGCTCCTTAGCTGACCGGCTGGGGGGGGGGTTGAGCTGGACGTGGGACCCCACCGATGTGGAAGGCAGCAGCTCTTTTCCTTGCTGAGTAAAGCAGCAGGTTGAGCTCAAAAGTGCTTCCCTGTGTCCTGCTGGGGACTGGGATTTTTCCATGTGAGCCTGATGTTAGGGTTGCAAAACGGGGCTGCAGAAAACTGAGCAGGTCACAAACTGACCTGAGCTCCTGCGCCTGGAATAAAGAGAAAAGAAGGGTGGGGAATGGCACAGGTTGCAGGGATGTGCTCTGGGCTGGGACTGAGCCAGGAGGAGCCCTGCTGGTGCAGAGCAGGGGAGGAAGGTGCAATCCCTCCTCTTGTTGCCCTCAGGGACGGGATGCCGGTGACCAGCACATCATTGACGTGGTGCTGAAGATGATGCAAGGTGAGGGGGTGACCAGCACCCACTGCACGAGCACCCAGTGTGTGGGACCCCACTGGCCGTGCTGCCCCATCCCGTCCCACACCGGCCCCTCTCTGCCCTACAGAGCAGCTGGCGGAGGTGGCCGTCAGCGCCAAGAGAGCCGCCCTGGGGGGAGTCGGTGCCATGGGCCCCCCTGGACCCCCAGGGCCTCCGGGGCCACCTGGGGAGCAAGGCCCCCACGGACCCATGGGAGCTCGAGGTGTTCCTGGCCTCCTGGGTGCCGCCGGGCAGATCGGCAACATCGGACCCAAAGGTGGGCAGCGTGGGCATCTGTCCTTCGGGGCAAAAAGCAAAGGCTCCTCTGGAGGCTCTCGTGAACCCTTCTCTCTCTGTTTTGTTCCCTGCAGGGAAGCGTGGGGAGAAGGGTGAGCGGGGAGACACCGGCCGTGGGCACCCGGGGATGCCGGGTCCTCCAGGGATCCCAGGTAAACCCCCAGTGTGTGCTGACCATCGCCCCCCTTCCCCATTCACTGCACTTCTCTCCCATCCATTGCTCTGCCCTTGATGGCCATCATGCCCCGTCCCCACGCAATGGACGGCACTTCTGCTCTATCCTGGCCAACCAGACCATGTTCACCCTGCACCTCTCTTCCCACCCCGTGGTGCCACTCGTGCGCAGCTGGAAATTCCCCCTCTCCCCCCCAATACCTCCGGCATTCAGAGCAGAGCATCCCCAGGGCCAACTGCTCACAGCTTCCCGCATCCCTTCCAGGTCTCCCTGGCATCCCTGGCCACGCGCTGGATGGCAAGGATGGGGAGCGGGGCCCACCTGGCGTCCCAGGAGATGCTGGGCGCCCTGGGTCCCCCGGCCCTGCAGGGCTGCCGGGTTTCTGTGATCCAGCTGCCTGCCTGGGGGCTTCTGCCTACGCCTCGGCACGGCTGACGGAGCCAGGCGCCGTCAAAGGACCGCTGTACTGACCACACAGCCAGCAAACACTGCAAACCCATGGGAAGGCACCTCCACGACACGCAGGAGGGACCCGGGGCACAGCGGCGTGGGGTAGGACAGAGGGACCTCCATCCCCTCCCCGTCCCACAGAAATAAAGCGGCTCTGATCCAACCCCTCTGGCGGCGCTCCGTCCTTTGGGGGCCGGAGGGGCTGTCGCTGATTTCCCTCTCCTGTTTTATTTTCATTTTCTTTTTGAAATGACAACAAAACGGTGGTTGGACTATTTAAGATGTGCCGGTGCTTTGGTGGCTGCTGGGCGCTCGCACAGATGTAAATCTTTGTAAAATAGGATTTGTTTTTATGAACCACACCGCGGAAATCGCCAGCTCTTTACAAACGAAACCAATGCAGACAATAAAGCTGAGACGGATCGTTACCCAACGGAACCCACTTCAGTTCTTTGAGGTTCCTCCTCTCTCCCACCAATCCCAGTGGTGGCTCAGGCACCCCAGACCCAGCAGCAGGATGGATCTGTGACCCGTTAATGAGGGTCAGACTCCTGTTGCTGCAGATGAGTGCCCCGTTGCTGCAGGGTGGAGGTGCTGCAGCTGGGAGATGCTGCTTGTAGGGCTGCATGCTGTGCTCAGAGCATCCGCAGACGTTGCTTTGCTGCAGGTTCTGTGCTGCCATGCAGCTGGGTGTGCACAGAAGCAATGGGACAGGGATGGGGAACGTCAGCCCCATCAGCTCTGACCCACGGCTGCGCTCCCCAGGCAGCTGCTCCCAGCTCTGCGGCCTCATGAGCTGGCAAGGCCAGCCCTGGGAGATTAAGATGAGGTTTTAATTACAGCACCGAGGAAGCAGCTGCCTGATCTCTTGCTCTTTTTTCCCCCACCTGCTCCTGCCCGAGCTTCACAGCCCCGATCCCCTGCGTGCCTTTCCCCGTTGCCTCCAAAGGCAGGCAGATCCATTCCTGGGGTGCTTCAGGAGCCCCCTGGCTGCCCGTGTTTGCTTTTTATTCTTGGATCATAGTTTGATTTCCCCCCCCCCCCCTCCTCTTGAGGTTGTCTTGGAGGTGCGTGCTGCACACAGACACAGGGCTGGGTGGACCAGGCAAGCAGTGCCCAGAGCAAACAGATGGGCCTTGTCCAAGAAAACGGCCCAAATTTGGATATCAGCTGTGCAGGAACAGCACCCTTCCAAGACACAACTCAGGGAATGACCTTTGTTAAGAACCCATTCATTTACATGCAAGTGGGGACCCTGGTTGCGATAGCAAAGCTGGGAAACTCGTTGGAGACCAAACTACAGCTTTGTAGGCGAACACAGGAATAGGAGGGGCTGAAATGGGAGTAGGGCAGCGGGGGGCGGGTGGGGAGGTGGGGATGCAGCCCAGGCTGAGCCCCGTTGGTAAGAAGGGCAGCTCTGGGCTGAGGGTCTGCATGTCGGGTGCTCAGGGCTCCCCTGGCCTTGCCATGCATCCATCCGTGGGGATGAGGCTGAGCCACTGCCCTCAGCCCTCACTGGCGTTTGGACCCCAGCCCCATGTCCCACCCCTCCAGGCTCTGCTGGCTGTGTGGTCACTGAGCACAGAGCCCTCCTCCGCGGGGGTCCCACAGCATCACATGGCGGAGGGGAAGGAACGTGCTGACAAAAGGCTGATTTAATTACTAGAATTGTTCTGATTACAGCCTGCAAACACTGTTATCTTGTAATTATTGCCAAGAACATGCCATTAGTACATGATTAAACACAACGTCTTGTGGGCTGCTGGCTGATTGTCTGATGCCTTATGAACTTAATTACTTCACGCTGGCAGGGAGAGAGGGGAAAGATGGAGCACAAGGACGGAGCCTGGGGACCCACAGCCCTTCCAGGGCCTCTCCCTGCTCTGCTGGGTGCCCTCTGCACTGAGCTCACCCTCAGCAGCACACAAGCATAGGGCTCCAGCTCCATCCCACAGCCTCCGGTCAGCAAAGATCAAAAGCTGAGCTGCACTCACCGCACAGGACAGGTTGGGAAGGTGGCACAGGAGCTCTTCTTCCTTACAGGAAAAATCCAGAAGCTTTCAGCCTTGGGGTCCCTTCGAGCACTTCTCACACACTGTCACCCTGCCCACTCGACAAGGGCACACAAACTGATCCTGACGTCTCATTAGCAGGATTAATTCTCGACCTCATTCTCCTCTCAACTGAGACATTGGTGCTGCTCCATGCCACTGCACTGAGCCCTGCTCCCTCCACTGGGGCTGAGCAAGCAGCAGAGGCTGGGCAGCACACTTCCCTCCTCCCCATCAAACCCCGTCCCCCATAGAACCCCTCTCCCTTGCAGAGAGCACATGGCTGTTAAGCAGGAATGGGCAGAAGAGTGTCAGCTGTGTGCATGATAGCAGAGCAGCCCTAGCTGTGTGCTGATGAGAGCTGCCCTACAGGTGCTGCTGGGGAACTGTGGGCCCCACTGGTTGCTTTCAGGCTGGGATGCTCCATGCTTGCTCCCTAAAAGCAGCTCTGCTGGGATCTGTCACGCTTGGGCACTGTCAGACCCAGGCCTGAAACGAACAGAGCAACTCTTTGCAGGAGTTCATGACAGCCCTGCATTTCTCACCGCTCTCCAGAACTGGCACTGTGTCACACGCTGCCAGGTGAGGGGCTGTGTTGGCTGGGCTGGAGGAATCCCAGTGGAAAAAAGCATTGGGATCATCTCAGCTGTGCCCAATAAACCCCCATCCCCCCCCCGTGCCCACTGAGAGGTGATGCATTGGCACACATTGCCCAGGGAGTGGTGGGGTCAGCATCCCTGGTGCTGCTGGGGGCTGTGAGGGGTGGCTCTGGAGGAGGGATGGTGGGCACTGAGCGCCTGCCTGCTGCCCTGGGATCCTCACACAGCAGCTCTGGCTGTGGGCAGCCCCCCCAAGTCACCCCATGCTCCCAATGGCACTGACCCCACGTGCATTGGGCACTGCTGTGCTTGGGGGCTGTTTGGGGCCTGGAATCTGCGCTCAGCTCTTTCCCTGTTCCTCATTAATCCCATCTTTCCATTCCTGTGGAGATGGGTTTAATGAAGGTAATTACGATGTTCCTGCAGCTCAGGCTGCAAACAGTGCCAGCGATTCCCTGTTCCTTCTTGCAACAGCAGCTCTGAGAGCACCAAGAAATGCAGCCACATTCCCACTGCAACAACAGACACCCATCCGACCTCAGTGCTTCTATGATCCTGTGATCCCTGCAGTTCATATCCTGGAGGAATCCATCACCCCCCATTTGTTCTCCTGCAGCTCCGGCAACTTTTCCACACAGCACCACGCACAGCCCACATCCACAACCACATCCCTGCTGATGGAAATCCCATCTCCTTGCTCTTGGGGCCGGGTGGGAATGCTGTGTGCCCTTCTGGGAAGGGGAGGAGGATGTTTTTAGGACGCTTGCAGCTTGCTGGCGCCTTCTGTTTGCTCTCTTTTCCCTCCCTACCCCACAGCTCTCAAAGTTTCCAACAAGGACGTGACCAACACAGCACTTTCATTTGAGATGCTGCAGCTGGAGGGCTATGAGGGGCCATGGGGGGTCATGAGGGGTTATAAGAGGCTATGAGGAGCTATGAGGGGCCATGGGGGGTTATAAGGGGCCTTGGGGGGCCATGAGGGTCCGCGTGGTGCCGTTCCCGGCCGCAGTCTCCGCTCCGCCGCCAGATGGCGCCAAAGCCCCGCGATCCCGGCCTCAGAGCTCCGTAGGCGCAGCGTTGCGTCGCCCGGCGCTGAGCTCCGCGGACCCCCGGAGGGGTTCAAACCCCGTTCCGATGCGGATGAATCCCGAAATCCATGCAGACACCCGAAATGAGCGTGTTTGGAACCCTGGGCACCGGGCACAGAGGGTCTTTCGTACATCCCCACGTGCACCGTGTGTGTCTGCTACCTCCATAGATACGGGAACTCAGCCGCTGCAGGCTGCGCTTCCCTCTGTGGCACAGATGAACTCGGCGTCCCGGGTCCGTTTGGTCCCACGAGGAAAACACGGCTGTTCCCACAGATAGCACAAGCCAATGCACGTGGGCTCAGCCCCCAAACGGATGCGAGCAGATCGGTGCTGTGAGCACCACGAAGGGAGCACAGCCCCCCGTGGAGAAAGATGAGCTTCCGAAAGAAAAACAACAAAACACCAAACACTGTTTAAAAAACAAAATAGAAAGAAAAAGAAAAATTAAGCAAAGAAACACTGAAGAATTGAGGTTCTCTAATGACTGGGAGGGACATCGGCTGCTGCTTCTGAAGGGCTCTGAGCTGCCGGAGGAACCCGAGCACCTCCAGCATGGAAGCCGGGATGCTGGGCTCCTCCCGCCCCGCTCCATCCCTGCTGCAGGTTGGCCCAGGGTTAGAAACAGCGGGAGAAAACCTCGGCCAGCGTCCGATGGGAGAAGGGAAAAGCAGCCCGGAAGGACGCGGAGCTGCGGCTCCCCCAAATCGCTGCCAACAGCACCGGATGGGGGGTTTAATGCTCTTTTAAAGGTAGCTTTACGAAGGGAACAGCCATTCCCTGTTTATGCATCGTGCTGATGTCTTCTAATGCCTGCTGTTAATCAGCCCCAGAGCCGGGGCTCAGCAGGTGCTGGAAGGGCTGATCCTGGGGGGTGCAGCGTGGCTGGGTTTTCACCACCAATCGCAGACCCAGAGGGTCGTTAAGGGTGGAAAAGACCTCCAACATCTCCAACCCCGACCCGTCCCTGGCCAACCAGACCGATCCCAGCCTGCACACGGCTGCACCCCGCTGCTGCTCCTGCTCACAGCCAGCGTTGCCCAGCGCCACCTCCCTGCGTCTGCGTGGCGGCGATGGTGTCCCCATGGCACTGATGCAGCCTTGGGGCTGCGTCCCCTCCCCATCCTGGCTTCACCTCTTCTTTCAGTGCTGTGAGGAGTTTAAAAGCTTCTTTCTCTGACCTGCATGTGGCTGCCGGGCTCTTTTAGGTGCACACGTTTTCAGGAGTTGCTTTCAATTGGTGACAAATTTGCTGGCTGGACGACGAGGTTGCATTTAGGGA